GAATGAGTGATTTGGAAAGGCACACACCCCTCAATAAAAGTTATAACAGCTGAAAATGCAGAGCAAAGACCAAGCCCTGAGGTCAAAAAAACTGCCAGTAGAGCCCAGAGACAGGATTATGTCAAGACACAGATCTGGGGAAGAGAAAACAATTCTGCTGCATTGAAGGTTCACAGAAGCTTGTAGCCTCCATTATCTTTATTGGAAGAAGTTTAGAACAACTAGGACTCTTCCTAGAGCTGTCCTCCTGGCCAAGACAAGCAATCGATTGAGAAGGGGCTTGGTTAGAGTGGTGACCAAGAAGCTGATGGTCACTCTAATTGAGCTCCATGATCATACATGGATATAGGAGAAACTTACAGAAGGACAAACATCACTGCAACACTCCACCAATCTGGGCTTTATGGCGGTGTGGCCAGACTCAATCCTGTACTAGGGGAATATGCATGAAAACCGACAAAAAAAAAAAAAACCTAAAGGACTCTCAGACTGTGAGAAACAAGATTTTCTGTTCCGATGAACCGCAGTCCCAAGCATCGAGTATGGAGGAAACCCGGCACTGCTCATCACTTGCACAGTACCATCCCAACCCACCCAAGTGAGGTGGTCGCAGCCTCATGCTATGGGAATATTTTTCAGCGGCAGGTACTAGGGGGGACATAGAAGAAGGAAAGCTCAATGCAGCGAAATATAGAGATGGCCCTACTGAAAACCTAGTCCAGAGCATTCAGAACCTCATAATGGGCAGAAGGTTCACCTTTCAACAGTACAGTGACCCTAAGCACACAGCAAGAGTGGCTTATGGACAACTCTGTGAATGTCCTTGAGTGGCTTGAGTCTGGACTTGAACCCAAACAAATATTTTTGGAGAAATATTTGAAAAGGTCTATCGGCCCCCATCCAATCTGTCAGAACTTAAAGGCACAATATGTAATTTTCGCCGCTAGAGGGCGCGCATTCAAAATAAACAAATAGACAAAGGTGTAGTTTGATGACGCCGTGACTGAGTGTGGAATCATGGGAGTTGTCGTCTTCATCCCCACAG